AAATCAGACCATCACTTCATGACACGTTTTCTGTGTTTTTAGGTTTCTCGGGCACCGAGTAGAAAGCCCTGTGTGTGTGGAAGAGTTAATACAACCTTCCACTTGCTATGGCAGCACTTGTCTGATCCCTCACTGTGTACAGAGTCTCGTTAATAATGTGACCGCCAAACAAACTGTTTAATTGGGTGAAGGTGCTCCCAGAGCTACCATTGCATAGTCACCTAGAGGTGTTTCCAGATGTTCTGTTCTTGCTCCCTACTCTAGTCTTGTCTTTGGGGAACAGGGTGGGTAAACACATTTGCAAAACACATCTAAAAGCAGACTTTAGACTGGGAAGATTCCGATTTGGCCGCTGCTCCACATTATAAAGCCACGTGCGACTTTAGCGCATGCAATAATGTGAATCAAATTGTTTTCTGTAATCGGCCCGTGCGCAAACTTCAAGGTTTAGGATTTACTGATGGTTTTTAGAAATTTATGAAACTTTAGGAATTATCTGGAGTTTTGCATGAATTATAAAAAAGAAAAAAGTCTACCTTGCAGCACTGGGGGTAGCCAGTTCGTATCCCAGCCCCTGTCTAAATTGGCCCTGTGTGCGATAAAGACCTTAGATTGTAAGCTGTGTAAATTTTCAGCGCTATGTAAATACCAATAATAATAAATAAATGCAAATATTTGGCCACGAAAACAACATTTATATTTGCAATTTCTAAACAAATTGGTTAAACAATCGGTGTTGGTGATGGGAGGGAGCTGTATGTTTCATTACATTTGTAGTAACTTGGCCATATGTTTTCTATAGGTGCTGACCAGACCATAGCAGCGGTTAGAAAGCTCTTTGGACCATGTTCATTTATTCATTACAAGTATCTATATAGAGCCAGCAATTTACATAGAGCACATTTACATCACACCCTGCCCTCAGGGAGCTTACAATCTCAGGTCCCTATCTCGCATGCATACATACTAGAGCCAATTAACCTTCCAGCATGTCTTTGGAGTGTGGGAGGGAACCAGAGTACCCAGAGGGAGAACATGCAAACTCCATGGGGATAGTGTCCTCACTGGGATTTGAACCCGGGGACCCTTAGTGCTGCAAGGCAGATGTGCTAACCGCTACACCACGGTGCTATTCTGTGTCAACTTTTATAGCATCCAGGCACTTCATAGCATCCAGACTTTAGGGTCACAATAAAACTGTGCCATTTTAAAATACAGAATTGAATTTATTTGAACCCCTTTGTTGTTGTTGGTGTACTCCCTGTAATTTTGAAATGTTGCCATAGACTTCTAAACTGTCATTCTGCAGATGGAATTATACTGACCATCAATGATTGTAAGCTGTCAAAGCATTGAGAGGGCTAAATAGCCCACATCATTACAGCAACTTCACCATGCTTCACAGTTGGGATGATTTTCTGGTGTTGGCATGCAGTGTTTCTTTGATTTCCCCAGACATACATTATAACTTCTGTCATCAGTTGCAGCAGTCACGGTAGTTCTGTAGAGTGTTCTTGTGAGTAGCAAACTTGAGTGGTAGTAATTTCTTTGGAAGGTAATCACGAAAAAAAATTCACATAAATTTTATTGCATTTTAAGTTTACAGCGGATATAGTTGACAACCATAAACATTATTTGTCATTGTTTTGCTTATGCCAGAGTCATTAGTACATACATGTCAAGTTCAGTAGACACTGGCAGATCCCAAGCTGCCACTCTAGGGTTCTATGTCATCTGTCTGAGGATGGGGCACTGAGGATGGTATTGTGCCCTTGCACAGATCTGTGTAGGACCCCCACTGCTAGGAAGAGTATCAACCGTACACTATTTCTTCCACCTATAAGCTTCTCTGTAGCTGAAGCCCACATGAGTCCTTCTGTAACCCTTTTCAGGCTTATGGGCTATTTTGAAGAACCACTATGTCTATCTATCTATCTATCTATCTATCTATCTATCTATCTATCTATCTATCTATCTATCTATCTATCTATCTATCTATCTATCATTCCTATATAGAGTTAACTGTAGGGGAACGTATGAACTGTAAATATATGTTCATGATGAATCCCCTTTAATGTAATACTGGTTTGCTGGATGGCTGCCACAAATATTAGATCTGTACTTTTTGCACATCTTGGAAAGCACGACCAGAATAGGCCTGATTTGTTCTGTCACCTTGAAGCCCGTAGCCATGATTTTATTGTGCCTTTTGGTTGTACTCATTAACCCTTCTGTGTCCGATTCTGTAGAAGAATACAAATCAGGTTTGCACTTTGCTTGAATTTACAATTAAGGCAGGATTTTTTTTCTCTGCTTTCCAAACCTTGTTTCGGTGTATATTTCTTTGTATTTATTTATTTATGGGCACGTGGGCAGCCAAATGTGCTCATTACATAAGCAGGCTTTGCTTCCTACTTTGCAGTGATGCACAATGGTTGTGCTTTGTTGCTGTTTGTCACAATGCTTCTTGTGTGGCTAATATCAACAGTAAAAAAATAAATAGAC